TAGAAGCCCCCCCCCCACCAAGGGGCTCTTGAGGCATTAAAGTGCCATTCAACATTTCTAAACTTGACTCTCAATTGTCTTTTTTGGGCTTGCAGGAGCATTGGCCAGGCGGCTCAAAAAGTTGCTGCATTATCAGTGACCATGATTTCTGGATTTACATTTCTTTTCCCGCAAAACATTTCATATGCTCCTATGAATGATTTTATGGTTAGATCTTGAACAGGTTGTAAATCAACAGCTCTCACCAGTGGACATGAAAAAACACAGATTGAGACTTTGTGTGCTGGGGATATGATCACTACTTTTCCATCTTTGTCTTTTCTTGTGATTTGAGTTGTTATGAAGGGCCCAATGAAATCAATTCCTACTGCTCTTAAAGGTATTGATCCGTGATAACGGTATTCAGGCAGTGGGGCAACAGGAGCAGCAAAGGGTTTAGCGTCAAATCTTTCACACCAGTTGCACTGTGTACAAATTTCTTTGGCCAGCACTCTCCCCTTTGGAATCCAAAACATTTTGCTTAGAGTTGATAGTATTACACTTGGGGGAGCATGTCCAAGTTCATCGTGATAAGTTTGAAACAATGATTTCAGAATGGAGCATTTATCTTCCTTTCTAGGTAGGGAAAGTAAGATTAGGGTTTTTTGTACGGGATGAGCTGGTGATACTGTTGAATTAGTTTGAGGTCCTTGTCTGCTTACAGACTGTATCAGGGAGTATTCTTCATTCCATTCTAAGTCAGGTTTTGTTGGAATTGTTTTTCCTTTGGACAATATGTCCCAGTCTTTGGTTGCATACAATTTTTGAATTAATCTGAACAATTCAATTTGAGCTTGTTTTATCAAATCAGGGCTTGACATTTCTTTTATTAACTTTTGAAATTTTGGTTCTCCTGTTAACGCTCGTTTTGCCGTCCTTGTGCGTCTTTTGCTTCTTTCTTTGAAAAAGGTAGTTATTTTTATCCATCCCAGCATTCTATTTACGACAGTTTTCCATGATGATGCTCCACTAAATGCAAAAATGAGCGTTTTGCGTACGAGATCAGGTTCAGGTTCTTTGGGTTTGACAAAACATGGGAACATGCGTATAGTTTGTAAAGGCCATTCTTCAGGAAACAGCAGCCATTTTGGCCCATTCCACCAAAGTTTGTTATCCTTCAAAACATTTGCATTGCACCCTTGTGAGACTAAATCTGCTGGATTGGAGGTTCCTGGTACATGTTTCCACTGTGTTTTGTTCAAGAATCCCAGGACTGTTTGTACACAATCTTTAACATAGCATATAGCTCTTGGATTTTCTGCTTTTATCCAATTCAAGGTAACTTCAGAGTCAGTCCAAAAAACAATTCTCAGAGTTTGAAGTCTGATTGCGTTCAGTATATCTTGCATTAAGGTTACTGCCATACAGGCTGCAGTTAATTCGAGATGGTTTATTTTTGTCTCCGGTTTAAGTTTTGCGTTGTCTTTGTCTACTTTTGACTCCTTTTTTGGTGTTAATGGGACTATAGTTTTGATTTTCCAAGTACAAGAGTTACCTTAGTTTCTGTCTTGTTTCTTGAGAGATAGTATATTGCTACACCAAGAGCATTTTTGCTGGCATCACAGAAAACGTGAAATTCTCCCGTGAGTTAATTTTTAAATCGTAATGCTCTGGGAATTTGGATAGTTGTTGCGTCTGGGGTTTCTTTGATAAGCGATTTCCAAGTTGCTGATTCAGCTTCTGTCATTTCAAAATCCCATGATGCATTAGGATGTTCTGCGTTAAATTTCTGGAATTCCAATTTCAGTTTGGTGTTGTAGGGTGCTAGCAAACCAAGGGGGATCGTATAGGGCTATAGGCAAGCTATTATACCTGCTGCTCTTCTTGTTGTTATTATACCGGCCTCTGCTAACAGATATATTGTTTCTGTGCATGCTGAGACTGAGTCATCTGATGGGTTGTATAAAAGTCCAAGAATTTTGTATTGGTCCATTTCCGGGTTTTCACTGGGAAAGGTTCTGATTTTAGTCAAATTGAATTGTCCCTTTTTTAGCAATTCTGTTGCCTTCTCAAGTTTTGTTTTAACTTCTTCCAAGGTTTTGCCTGTTATCAAAATATTGTCAACATACGTATTGTCTTCAAGTTCCTGTCTTTCAGCTGCTGTTATTGCTCCTTCATCTTCAGCTATTCTGTACAAGTATCTTATGGCTGCGTTAAGAATAAAGGGTGCACAGTTAATACCCCACGGCAATCTAAGAAATCAAAAGAACTGTGGTCGATATGACCCATCCTCTTGTTTTACTGGCCATTGAAATATTAGGAGCCATTGATCATCTTTGGTTAGTTGCACCTTGACAAATGCCTTTTTTATATCTGCTATTCCAAACAAATCTGCAAATCTCATTCTTGTTAGTATGTGAGTAAGTTTGGGCAAGATATCTGGTCCTTGGTCTAATATATCCTTTGTTGAGGCTTTTCCGCAATCTGCTGCATTACCTGCTATTACTACTCTCAAGGGGGTACTTGCACTATTTGGTCGTTCAACGCCATGATGTGGCAATTCTGTGAATGGAGTTCCTCTTTGTACCAACTCATCAAGTGATGTGGGAGTTATTACTCCATCTCTTTCCCAGTCTTCTATAAACTCTATATAAGCTTTTGCAAAAATGTCTCCTTTTTCCAGAGTTCTGATAACTGATCTACTTTGTTGTTCTCCTGTTATAAGGTTGGGAGACCAGTTTTCTAAAAAGGTTGACGATTTAAGAAGAGAGGCTATTACTCTGCCATCAGGACCCCTTTCAATTTTCTTCAGATAATTGGATAATTCTTCTTCAGCTGAGCTCTTTACTTCTTCTGTATTTCCAAATATTTCAATTCGATCTAATCTTAGACTTTTGGTGATTTCTTGATTGAGCTTGCAGTCCAGTACACTATTTTCGTTCACTCTGACATTGAATACAGTTGTTCTGTTGGTGTATTGAATTTCGTTTCCTTTGTTATCCCAACTACCGCGAGGGATGAGTCCAACGTTTGAATGCAAGAGTTGAAATTGGTTTGTTGCAATGATTGGTTTTTTATCAAATGTGAAGATTGGGATGAGATCTCTGCCCCCCAGTATTAGGTCAAAGGGAACCTGTGTGGAATGTACGATTCTCGGGTCAGCAAGATCATGTTGATATTCTTTGATCCAAGGTATGATCTGTGGATTGGTGCTTGCCCAAGGCTTGTCTAAGGGTACTACCATTGCTTTGATTTTGAATGTTTGGTTTGTTCAAATGGTTTTTCTTGGCTTGAGACTTATATCTACATAAGACATTGATGTCAGATCTTCAGGGTCATTTTCGTTAACTCCTGTTATTTTGAATCCAGTCTTGTGCCTTTCTGGCTTTAACAAGAGTCTATTAACACACTCTTCAGTTATAAGGTTGAGCTGTGCTCCCGAATCCAGTAAAGCATATAGTTCCTTTTCGGTTTTAGACTCTATGAGTTGAGTTGTTTCCATGAAAGAGCTTGACGGAGTTTTTAACAATATTTTTACGTTAATTTGCTCTAGTCACGCGTTATTTTGAACAGGGACTGACTGTGCTTGAACAACTTGAACCTTTTTCATTTCTGCCACGTCTGTTTGGAGATTTTTGACTATATTAAGAATTTCAGCGCTTGGTTGTAGGGAATCTGCATTATTTGCCTGGTTCTGATTATTTTCCTGATTCCCATTTCCTTGAGTTGGTTTTCGGCAAAGACTTGTATGATGTTTACCGCCACAGTTTCGGCAACGTTTGAAGTTTCAACAATCTATAACTCCATGTCCAGGACGCAAGCAATTCAGACAGAGGCTGTAGGCTTTAGCATTCTTTTCCCGTTGCTCTACGTTTTGATGACACTGATTTGGGTAATGTTCTTGTCCGCAAAATGGGCACTTCTTTGAGAAAGTTACTTGTTGAAATCGGTTTTGCCTGTAGTTCAGCGCTGTCCACTGATAGCTGTTATGGTTCTGTCCATTCTGATTGTAATTTCTGAACTGTCCTTGATTATTTTGCATATTCTGATTTGTTGTCCTTTCTATTACAGGACTGTGAGTCGAGAATAAAATAACCAAGTTCTTATTCTGGATTAATATCCTTTATTCAATATTCTCATCCACATACAAACATTCAATACAACAATAAAAATGCACAAACACACAAGTAAAACATTCAATACAACAATACAAATACACAAACACACAAGTCCAGCTTGTCCTTTACTTCCAAATAGGTTTGAGCTTCAACAGAGTTTCAACTATGGAGTTTACTGTATGAAGCTTGGATGAGATCTCTCTTGAGATTTCACCAAGCAGGGGTATTTAAACCTAGCCAGTCTAGATGGGGGAAACAAAGGAAACAATCATTGCAACCCTAATAGCAGAAATCCCAATCCGTTAAATGAACAAGGTAGAAATTGCTCTGAGGGAAATATAATTGCGCTGGTTACACATCAGTGATAATGACCAGGCGCAATAAGAACAAGAGAAACGAATATCACTCGAATTTCGTAAAGAGTTGAGCCCACCAGGATTTCAGGATTGATTGTACTTTAATTACCTGAGGAAGGTTACTGTGACTTGTCATGAAAAGTTGTAAAGACTTATCATCAAGGAAATTGCAGCAATTATCTTTGCTTTAGCAATTTCCCATTTCTAGGCTTTCTAAAAGGTTTCTTCTGAAACTACCAAAATTTCTTTCAGGGGCCATAAAGGCTTTATGGAAATGGCAATTGTTATTGCCAACCATCAGGAGGTATCAGGCATGGATCCGACAGATGTTTGGATCAAGAAGAATGATAATATCTTCTTCAGTTGGCATCGAGTGCCATTTGTTAACGGATGATCCGTTGGGCCTGAAATTTTGGCGGTTGACTTTGGTGAGCATTGTTAGCTTAGTCTATTTTTTTCAAATCACTCTGATTGTAAGTTTTTGATTTTTGTCTCGAACAACGCAGCGTCGTAACGACTTCCTGTCAAATGAAATCATTGGAAGTTGATGGGTCTCCTGGAGCTGGTGGCCTCAAACATTGTTTTGCAAATCATTCGTTTGGCTAGTGACTTTGTGCTGCTTGGGATCTTCAACTTCTTCAAGAGAAGACTTCAACAAAGTGAGTTTTGCAAACAAAAAAAAATATTTTTCAGAGATAACAAATTTTCCAAATTTTGACAGATGGCATTTCTGAAGATTGCAACATTGCTGCTGTGGCTGCTGGTCGGTGCTGGTGTGGACTGAGGTCCAGAAGACAGTGCGTTCCTGTGTCGTGACGTCTGTGGCAAGGAGGTGAGAGGCGCCGGCGGCTACGGATGCCACGTGATGTTTGTCGGGGCAACGCTGTTTTTGGACTGCGTCAGGCAGGCGGACCTCAAGGTGAGTGTTGGGTCAAAGTGTAACAAGTGACAGGTATGACAGCCAGTTTTTGTTTGTAGGAGGTGAAACTGCTGTCTCCGACGGTGTTCATCAGACGTCGGTCTGAGATGGATTGAGTGGTGACGCCGTGGAGGTGGTGCGAGGAAGTCGTGCCACCCGAACCAGAGATCTCAACAGCGGCAGTTCCGCCGGTGGTTGGTGAGTTGTTTTCAGCTTTTCCATACAAACATAAACATTTCAGAACACAACTCACACACATAACATCATAACATATAACCAACACCTGTATACCACAACCCAAGACACAAAAAAAATATTTTCCTTCACCGTACGTAAAAAATATTTTGTATATACAGATGAGCCTCGTCCGGTGGCGCCGACGGCCAACCTGGCAGTCGTTCACGTGCAGGCGAACAAAACGCCGTTTGTGGTTTGGGGGCCTCCCTTGACGCAGCAAAGCAGCGTAGTGGCCCAAGAGGTGCCACATGTCATCAGGGCACCATCGTCGACGCCGGAAGTGACGGTCAACATCAAACATGGTGTTGCGCACATTGAGGCGGACGTGGACCCATGGACTGCAATGGTCCTGGTCTTCATGGGCCTTGGAGGAGCAGGGGCTACGTCCCTGGCTGTATTTTTGGTTTGGCTGGTCAAGTTCATAAGGAAAACGGTTAGCCAATTTTTCTTTTATTTTAATAAAAATGATTAACAATGCTTTTGCTTTTTGTGCTTGATTTGCTTTTTTGTGCATGCCTTTCAAATATAGAGAAAGAAAAGAATACTGAAACTGGATAAGGCTAAAGTTAAAGAATGCATAGTAGGATCTATGCCCAACATATTTTTTAATGGGCTAGATTCTGATGATGAAGAATTTGAAGTTTTCTCTCAGAACTATGCAGATATCAGGGCTAGATCCCAAAGAGTTTCAACATTCAGGCAAGGTAAATGATAGCCTATAAATACAAAGCAGCGCATGCAATAATTTTTGATGCTTTGCTTGGGGCTTTTTTCTTTTTCTTTTTTCTGTACAGTCATCGTACATGCGGGAACTGGTGCGGATGCTGACGCCAGAGGATCAGCAGGATCCAGAAGCCCAGCCAGTGGTTGATCTGCTGGGGCTGGAGGAGACGGATAAAGCCATTGCAGAAGGGAAGGAGGAAGAACTGGTCCTTGAGGACAACAACCCCTTCAAAGAAATGTTGAACACGTAAATGTTTAAGAAAATGCATCAAAAGAGAGTGCCATTTTTTGTACCCGCATTTTTATATGGGTCAAGGCAATAAGAGAAATTGTAAAAAGAATTTCTGGCCTCTGGTTCTCTTTTTTGTTTGTCTTTTCCAGCCGAATTTCTTTTGTAGAAAGTGATCAGCAAATGGACAAGATTCCTGTGGAAGAGTCCATCTCCAATCTAGGATAAATTGCAGGCTTAGGAGTAGGAGACTGGATAAATCTCACAGATGCTTGAGCATCATCAGATCTTCTGGAAGGAGAGGGCCTCCTAATCTGTAAGACATACTGAATCTTGGCATAGCATAAATAAATAAGACACAGTAGAATAATGAGCAACAATGAGACTGACACAATCATATAAATATAGCCGTAGTCTCTGAAGTGGATTTGTAGCTCACTGATGTCTGAGGAAATTTGATGGATCCCTGGCATGACAGCAGGTATTTCTTGCACTGCATTAATCTCAATATTCTCAAGTTTAGGCAACACACCAGTGAAAGGACCATTCACAACTGTATAGCGACAATTAGGCTTAAATTGAAGAATTCCAGAATAAGGTAACTCATAAGAATTTTCAGATGCAGATATGCTAGAATTCTTGGAACCAGAACAGTACTGAGTGATCCTTCCCTTATCATTGTCCACAAATGCAAATTCATCACTATCCAGCTGCACAACAGAGTTGCTAGGAGTGCTAATTTGTTTTAAAGGACACTTAATTTTAATTGTAGATTCATTTTCCCCATTTTGAATTGATGACACACAGGGGTCTAGTTCTTGGGAAGGAGGTCTGTTAAATCTACAGATCCTACAATCAGCTTGTCCCAATTGATTTAAGCATATAGGTAAATCAAGAGAATATATACCATAAAGTTTTGAGCCTTGAGATAAGAGATATGAGTGCCTTAAAAAGGCTTGCTTCCATTTAGGAGCTCCCATATAAGTATCTTCAGCAATAGGCAAAGCATGGATTTTAAAGAGCTCATATTTGTCAATGGACCTGATGATTGGTACCACAGTTGTGATCCTGTAAAAACATGAAGTGTTGACTGCCTCAAGATCTTGAGCACAGGGGTCAAAGTGACCTATGGTCAATGGATTTGACCTGATTAAAGCAAACAAGTCTTGGAGAGTCAAAACTGTAGTTGGAGGGTTGTGTACAGTTTTGATAATTTGTTCCAATTGGGTCTTAACCTCAGAATTTGTCAAGAGGGTAATTGGATATTGAAATTGATGAATTCTGTCCATATCAGCCATCAAGGAAATTAGGAGCCTGGTGAAATGGGCTAATTCATTTCCAAGACTGGTTAAATATAACCAGGAAGCAGCATCATTTGGCAAGGTGGAATTTATTTGATTTCCCAATTGGGTTGCCACTTCATATATGTTGCTGTTTGGCCTGTAATGAGCAGGTGGAGAAATTGTTGCTCTTTTCTCTTGGACCTGAATTTCATCTATCTCATTCTTTCTTCTCCTCATTATGGGTAGAAGACTTAAATAGGAGGATTCTGGAGGAAATGGTTTGGAAGTTTCTTTTGCTCTGATTCTGAGATTAATTAATTCTTCAGTCAATTGACTTGCTTTGTCTTGCAAAAGATTGTATGCTAATTTAATAGTTGTAGGAGAACTTGAGTTTGTTTTTAGCCTGTCCTTGATGACTGTTAAAATTTTTACATTCAACTTGTTCATCAAGGTATGAATTTTTCCAATATCTATAGAAGTTTCTATTGTCCAAAAATTGATTGGGGTACAAATAGAAAACATGTCCTCCAGAGTGATCCCAACATTTGCAGGGAAAGTT